AAAAAAAATGAATCTAAAAAAAAATACAATAAAAAAAAATGATAGTACAGATTTCCCATATTCCCTATACCCAGCTTAAACTGTTGTTAACATTTTATATCAGTCCCTAATTTATTCTTTGTTTGCTTCAGATTGTTCACTATTTTAATCAATGTTGTAATGAACATCTTTGTTGATAAATGTTATTCTGTATTAGATTTTTTCCCCAGTTTTAAAATAACCATATTTTATTTATGTAGAGGGAATGCAAGGGAGAGAGAAAGAAAGACAGAGAGAATGGAGCAGAGAGAGACATTGTGTTTAGAATTATTGTTTTCCTTCTGTGGTCCATAATCTCTCTCATTTAGTGTGTAGCCAGGAAAAAAAAAAATCAAAATCTCTCCATGTAGAATAAGAATCATTTGAGTTTTCATGTGTTATTATCATGCCATTGATGGGAGTTATAGTAAAAGAGTAAAAGTCCACTACTGAGAACATTAAAATCTGATAAGAATAATTAGAAATGCAGTATTTTCCTTTCATTTTCCATTTTCAAGCATTGGTGTATGGTCTTCCTTCTGCCTATATTTTTCCAAAGTCCTCAACTTCTCTCCCACTTGCATCTCCTTTTTTTGTTTTTGTTGTTTTGCATCCTTTGAGCCTCCGTATTGATATCACCTCTTTTACTGGATTTAATGATCTGCATTTTTTTCCTTCATTGACTGTGCTGACTCATACTATTTAGTTTTCATTATTTTATTAAATAAATGTATTTATTGAGAGCCTCCTGTGAGGCAGGCAAAAAACTAGGTACTAGGTTACATTGGGAACCCTGGTGGCATAGTGGTTAAGAGCTACCACTGCTAACCAAAAGGTTGGCAGTTTGAATCCACCAGGCGCTTCTTGGAAACTCTATGGGGGCAGTTCTACTCTGTCCTATAGGGTCACTATGAGTCGGAATTGACTCGACGGCAACGTCTTTTTTTTTAGGTTACATTGGTTCACAAGGCCAACAAGGTAGCCCTACCCTTGGAACTCATAGTCAAGAGTGGGATGCAAACATTTATTAATTACAGTTGTCATAAGTAGTCAAAAGTAAAACATAAGGTCCTTCCAAATTTAACACCATGAAGCTTTCATGTAGACTCAGTGGGGTTTCAGGAAGGATTCCCTCTGGAGGGATATCAGTATTGGGATCCAAAGCGTTGGTAGGTTTTGTCAAATTAAGAAATTTCCAGTTAAGAGACACGTGATGTTTAAAACTCTGAAGAAGAAAGGAGCATGGTGTGTTGAAGAAATGATAATGGATTAGCGAGCAGAAATATGAAACAGATTGGAGCAGTAGATAATATTACACTGCTGTGTTCTCCTGCACTGGTGTGGATGCTGCATCTCTCTCACTCTCCTCCTGGAACAACACAAAAGAGAAGACTTTTTGAGATCAAAAAGAATGCCAACTTCATCAAGTATCCATTGTGACAGCAAAACATTAAAAGGTAGTGAATTCTCAGTATACACATTTGATTTATTAATTAGTTATTGGACTTATTTTTAGGTAGACCATGAAACTAGAATTCTGAGGTTTGATTCCTAATTTTTGGTTGTAGAAAATGGAGGAAAAGAGGAGCAGGAAGAAAGTACCTCAGTTAAGGAAATGAAGGATGAAGAAGATGATGAGATTTGAGGAGGTGAGGGGTGATCCATGGTTGCAGACGTACTGGCTCCTGAAGGACATGGAGGTTGACTCTGCTCCTGGGAAACCTTTTGCTTTTTGGTTACAGGCTTCTCCTTAACTGTGTTTTTTCGTTTCTGAAAGTAGATTTTTTTTTGACACTGATGGTTTTCAGTATCAAATGAAGCACAACATATTTTTATTATTATGTGCAGTAGGTTCTATCTGAAGGGATGTCTTGGTAACTCCAGGAATTTCCATTCTGTAACCTGAAGAGATGACCAGTAAGTAAGTGTGGGCAGAATGGTTGCTTAAACAAAGGGAAAATTTCTATAAACTAACACGTAATTCTTCTAATCAAGTCTGTGGTTGAATGAGAAGAACATCGGACTTGGAATTAAAAAATGTGGGTTTGTGTTAGTATGGAAAAGATTTTTCCAGTCTAATTGATAATCTATATTTGTAACGGGATGGCGATATCATAATCATGTTATTGAAATTTCCATCACATTTGTTATAGAGCCTAGTTCATTGCCTAGCACAAGGGAGATGATCAATAGTTACTCATTTTGATAAATATGAATTGTGTTGAAATATTAATGAAGTAAATGCCTGAATGGGGAGAATGAGTGCAAGAGCCATCGTGGAAGTTTCTTCTGTGAGACTTCAAGTCTGTCCTTCTTCCTAAGGCTTACCTGACCTTCTTGTGTGGCAGTTGTAGATGTTACAGGACATGATCTACCCTGGTTGCTGCTTTTCCTTGGAGTTTTTGTCTTTTCTTTAATTTTCTTTGCAACTGATGCAGAAAAAGGAAGACACAATAAACCCAGAGGAGCCTGTCTAAGGCAGCTGAAGCAGTTTCAATACTATTTCTTTCCAACTCCTGCTTGTGAATCAAGACATGCTTTTGTCCACCTCTATTTCATTAGCAGAGTCTGGATACATGGTGGTCAGAAGAGCAACACAGGCACAGGCCTCATCTCTTGCCTTTCCTTCACATCCCTGTACAATGAGTACGTCCATCCCATCCTCTGGACTCCCAAGCACCTCAGTCCAGTCAACTTCTTTCCTGACCCTCTTATCCCATCTTGTCCTTTAAAAATCTACAGTTTTCTTAATGCTGACTGGTGGATCATTTTCTACAGACGATTTGTTCAAATTATAGAAACCAAATTATATGAAATGTGGTCTGATTTGAGATGTTATAAACTGGTGATATTGGCCTTTGATTTTCTAAAATATTTTGTTTAAGGTCAGTGATCTCACAAGTAGGTAAGTCCCATGTCATCTTTATTATTAGAGAGGATACTATTGATGGAGTAAATAATCTTAATAGAGCAGGTGCTGTAATTGCTTAAATGTAAATATTTTTTAAATGAAGCATACTTTTTGTAATTTTGCTTTGTCATTCTCTAACCTTTTTAACGTACTGATAATCTCAGCTTTTCTAATCACTTCTTTTCTGCCTTTTGTTCTTTAATGAACCCAAAATATACCTTCCAAAATACATCAATACTCATTACAGAAAAAGGAAAGACATAAATTGTAAACTGGTTAACATTTGAGGTTTCACCATTATTGTGGCTACTGAGTCTTAAAGTAGGAAAGGGATATATCAAGTATGACCAAAGCAAAGCTCTATTCAAGGATGTGGTTGGTTGAAGTGAGGGGGTTCCCCTATTACCTTTTAACTTTGCTCTTCTAAGCTTTTTAGTAATATCTTTTTTGAGATCTTTGATATCTTTGAATAATTCTATTAGTTTGTCCACACAAGCAGCACCTCGGAACTTTTTTTCCATCAAGTCAGCAATCTTAATTCTATCACATTCTTCCTGCATTTTTTTTGTCAGTTGCAAATCATAGGCCAGTAAAGACTTGACTATGTTAAAATGATAATCATTGATTTCCTCTAATCCCTTCAGTAGAACAATTTTCTTGTATTCATTTCCCATCTCAAGTTATTGCTGAGCCTGTAAGAGAAAAACAACGTGCAGTGTTACACATTTATACAGAGTTTAAAGGACTGGATATGCCTGTGTGAGTAAGTAGTCCATGCTATCATGTTGTCAGTGGATATGTGTGACAAACAGGAAATATATAATCACCAAATCACTAGTCGTGGCACTGTGGAGTGGGTTGAGAACTGCTGCATTCAGAAGTTCTAAGAAATTCTTCCCTATTAATGATGAAAGTTGAGTTGGGTCAAGGGTATGTGTGGTGGAAGGAGGACTGAAAATAGTTGTTGTATTTAGACTGTGGATTATGTAGTGTCAAAGTCCTTTTCCCATCCTCTATTAAGGCTAAGGTTGCCCTTGAGGTCTGCTTGTTGGTCCCGCACTATGACTGAAATGGCCTGTGTGCAAAATGGGTGCATCCTATAGCTTTACAGGAAAATGCTTCTGCTACAGTACTGCAGTTCCTTGCTGGAGACCTGACCCTAGTCTACTTGGCTATTCCTTAGCTGGCTTTTATTAACATCCTGTGTCTCTGAAGCTTGGACCACGTTCTTTGTGGCATATATGCTTATATCACTGACACTTTGCTGGACTTCTACTTGCCCTCTAGTGAAGAATGGCAGCAATTATTTATTTATTTTGGCCTTGATTATTTTAACAGTCTCTTACTTTCCTCCTTCTAGGCTTACTTTCGGGTAACTAGGTAACCAAGTTCTTGCCAGGTAACCAATTATCTTTCTATAAAGCCATGGCTCTATCTGTGTTGAATCCTTTAATAATTTCCCGTTTTCTTCAGAAAAATATTTTGTGCTCTATCATGATTCAGAAGTCCTTGAATAATCTTTTTCTCTTTTCCTTCCCTTACTTTTGTTTTTCTTGTATCTTAAGCTGTAGAAATATACAGAACATATTTTTCTTACAGGCTTCCTGACTTTGCTAATGCCCTTCATGCTGCTGAGAAAGACATTCCCACCTTTCTTCCTCTGACTAACTTCCATACAGCCTTCAAGACTTAGCTGAGTCTCTGTCTTCTGCGTGGTGCAAACAGTTAAAGCCCTTGGTTGCTAACCAAAAGGTTGGAGTTTCAAGTCTACTCTGAGATACCTTGGAAGGAAGGCCTGGTGATCTACTTCCAAAAAATTAGGCACTACTCTGACATACATGGGGTCGACATGAGTTGGAGTTGACTCAATGACAACTTCTTTTTTTTTTTCTTGGGCTTATGAAAGTTTCCATAATGAACTGTTACTCCTCAGGGTCTCTTCAGCACCTGTATACTCCCTTGATGACACCACTCAGTACATAGTATGCATTTCAGTATTCAGTTTTAATTCATGAGTTCCTTTAGTTTAGGGAGCATGCCTTTGGGTATGTTTATATAATTTGTATGGCCACACTCCTAGTTCTTTGAATTGGTTTCTTCCTGAGGGCAAATGGATGTCCTCTGATTGAACAGATCACAGAGTGATGGAAAAACTCACAGCAAGACTCTGAGAACTTCTTGAGATAAAAAATTGATCATATACAAAGATTCAGTCATGAAATTGAAACTGATTCTCAACAGCAAAACTGACTGCAGCAAGACAATAGATTAACATTTATATAACCCTTGTCCAAAAATTCCATACTTGTGATTCCAAAATACAAAACACTATAAAAATGAAAATATTTTTGTGGGGAAGAGGCTGAGGAGTGTGGCAACAAAATATATTTACAATATAAAACTTGATGGGAAGTGATAAGTGGCCATGTATAATCTCTTCATCTGATGTGAGTGTGAACAGTCACAAATTTGATGTAGAAATAGTAATGCATTTGATTTTGGAGTACTGATGCTATCACCATTTTGTCACCTGTACAATACTGAAGATAGCGTGTGTACATTAAAGAGCTGTTTTATTAGTTGCAGTCAAGTCGATTCTGACTCATCATGCCCCATGTGTGTCAGAGTAGAGATGTGCTCCATAGGGTTTTCAATAGCTGTGATCGTTCAGAAGTAGATCACCAGTTCTTTCTTCTGAGGAATCTCTTGATTGGTTTGAAACACCAGTCTTTGGTTTGTAGTCAACTGCTTAACTGTTTGCACCACCCAGGGACTTCAAATAGCCTTTCTAAAACCTAAATAATGAATTTCAAACATATCTTGTCCAAGGGTTTCAGAGGAGGTGCTCTGAACCAGTATTCAAATAATTTTTGAAACTTAAATTTTTTACCTAGTCAAATGTTATTTAAATGTTACAGCTTAAAAAACAAAAACAAAAAAAAAAACCTATTGTCTGATATTCACAGATTCTGATGTTTTGCACAACTAAGACTCATGCCAACAACACTTTGGGAAGAACTATTCAGTAAGAAAATAAATAAAGCCAAGAAACACTGGAGGTCAAAAGGGAAATGAGTGAACAAATAATTAAGTTTCTCAGTGTCTTAAAAACAAGTAGCCAGAATCAAAGACAGAAAGCAGAAAGTAAATCAACACAGCGAGGATGCAAGGAGGGAGACCAGAGGATATGAGAATTCAGTAAAACATTTAAGGGAAGAATAGATACAGAAAATGTTTTTAACTTGACAAAAAAGGAGAATGGAGCATAGAGTAAGTATTATAAATTGAAACAACGCGTGATGGCAGAAACAAGTTAAAGTATTTTGAGAATAAATCCCCACAAAGACATATTCCAGTGACACTGAAGAATATTAAAAATAAAGTGGAAACTCTGTGAATGGGAAAGGAGAAAGAATTATCTGGGTGACTCACCTGCTCCATTGACATCTGGAGCCTGATTCAAGGGGCTATAGGTTTCTCCTGACCTACATGCAAGTCAGCAGGATAAGAAAGCTCTGATGTTTGAGTTACACCGATACATGTAACTCAAAAAAGTAAAGAAGGAGCACTTTGCTACTGGTTCTTCTTGTGGGTAAGATTACTTATTTATAGAGAAAAAAGCTGTTCAGTTTATCTGACTAGTGAAATAGAGGGCTTTGAAAATTGATAGGTGGTGAACGTTGTGTTTGAATATATATAAATGGATTAAACTCTCCAACTAAAAGACAAAGTTTTTGAATATGGATTGAAAACAAAATTTTTTGTTTTGTTGACAAAATACAAATAAAGCATAAGGTCATTTAAAGTTGAAAAGCAGTTGGAAAACATATATTGTGTAAACTCTATCTTAATGAAAGCAAGTTTAGCTATCATAGTGTAGTTTAATCTTTTAGAAAGAATATCAGTAGAGATAGAGTTTCACTACATAATGATAAAATTTTCAACCCCCAAGAAGATAAAACAGTGTTAATTACGCATCTTCGTAGTAAAATAAATATGTAAAAACAAAACCCATTGCTGTCGAGTCGATTCCAACTCATAGTGACCCTATAGGACAGAGTAGAACTGTCCTATAGGTTTTCCAATGAGCGGCTGGTGGATTCGAACTGCTGACCTTTTGGTTAGCACCCAAGTTCTTAACCACTGTGCCCCTTTATATTACTTTACATTACTCGATACATTTCTGAACAATGATAACATATAGCAAATATCACCCTCTTAATATATGTACGTACATTTGTGTAAAAACACTATGTATTTTTTTTTTAATAAATGTGTATGGTGGAAATCAAGAGAACTACAGTGACAAATTGATAAAATCACCATTAGGGTTAGAGATTTCACCATCTCTCTCTCAATTACTGAAAGAACAAGGTAAAAAAAAAAATAACGAACATTTAGTTTAGAAGATTTGACCAACACAAGTAACAAACTGTTAAGAGCCTTTATCTGACATATTGGATTCCGAACTGAACATTTAAACTTTCCTTAAACACACATGTAATATTTAGAAAATATTCCTCATGTTGTTGTTTTGGGGTGACATTGAGTTGATTTTGTCTCACAGCAACCCCATGTGATAGAGTAGAGCTGACCAGTAAGGTTTTCTAGGTTGTTATCTTTGCAGGGGCAAAATTGCTGGGCATTCTCTCCTGCAGAGCATTTGGGTACGTTTGAGAAACCAACCTTGTGGTTAGCAGCAGAGAGCTTAACTGTTGTTGCATCAGGGTTCCTGATTCCTCATGTACCAAGCCATAAAAAAGTAAAAACATATCCAAAAAAGTAGGTAATATATTTAATTCACTCTCCCTGACTCTTCACTATACCTTGCCACCAGAAAGCATTATCTGTTGCTTTGAGTAAAGCATGCTGTTGTTAGGTGCCGTTGTGTCGGTTCCGACTCATAGCGAACCTATGTACTGCAGAACAAAATACTGCCCAATAAAGCACAGGTTATTCAAAAAGAACTAAAGAAATGCTTCAGATGCCTGACATAGGCTAGAGTTTAAAATAAAAATTAAAATAACTCATGAAACAGTAAAGAAGCCACATTTTTATGTAACTGTGTTTGTGGAACTAAGAAATTATTTACTGGGTGTGTATGTGCACATTTTCGAAAATTTGGGGTAATACCATATAACTCAGTTTTATATCCTGATTTAGTTTTTCCTTAATATTTCATGATACTTCTCTCATGTCACTATCTTGTCTTTTATTCAGTTCCCATCATGGCCACCAAGAGTTCTCCTTATCCTCCCACTAACAAAACTAAAGTCCTCCTCTAAATATCAATTACTTCAATAGACACTTGGAGAATTAATTTTTCAAACTTCCTAGAGTCAAAATGGAAAGACCAATCACTAGAAAAAGACATGTTTTGTAAAGTAGAGGGTCAAGGGAAACCTTTTCTGAGTTGAATTGACACGGTAGCTGCAACAATGGGCTTGAACATACCAATGATCATGAAGAAGGCACAGAACTGGACAATGTTTTGTTCTGTTACACAGAAAATTTCCATGAGTTGGAGCTGGCTCAAGGGCAACTAACAGTAAATAGTTAGAAATGCAGTTTGCTTTGCTCGGGCCACACCTGTAGTGGGTTAAATGATATCCATTTTCCATGCAGAGAGGTAAAGGATTAGAATCAAGCTACTGCAGTTTCTGTTTCTCTGAAATATGGTTGATGCCAGCCCTTCTTCTCCCAGACAACTCCTTTCTCCCTCTGTGATTTTTGTGGTTACCAACTAGGCACCCAGATGTCTGCAGAAACCCCCACAGGACTTACCTCACTGGAGACTTCTTTCACAGTAATCTAGATCTTGAGATCTTCAGAAATACAGGAATTATAGTTTGTCTTGTAAGAGAAGAAAGACAAATCAGTAAGGCTCTCTAGAGAATGACTGTAGGATGCTATAACCTTGTCAAAGACTAGACAATGACCTATTTTGAAAGATAGCAAGGAAACACGGCGCTGATTAGAGTGACTTGAAAACTTGATTATTGATGCCCAAATCACACCGTGCTAACTCCTAAGCAGAAAGAAGTTACGTAGTTTAGAAACAATTTTTAGGCTCCGCCTATCAACTTTCATAGCTTTCTACTTCAGTAGTCCAAAATACTGTACAGTTTCCTGCCTGTGAACAAATAATGTTAGCCACAAGGAGAAACAATAGCAAAGTACTTCTTTGATTTTTTTAGTTACAAATATCTGTGACTGAAAGGAGTTCCAGTCTTAGAACTTTATTGACCAGATGACATATATGTGGGTTAGGAGCAACTATAAAACCAAACTAAACCCATCACTGATGAGTTGATTCCAGCGAGCAGCTGATAGATTTGAACTGCCAACATTTTGGTTAGCAGTCGAGCACTTAACCACAATGACCCTTTGAATAAGCCTCATGGTATCAAAGTGGACAGATGAGTCACCAGCCGATTCTCCCTCCTTTCCAGTTCACAGAGTGGCAGTGGCAGGAGGAGATCTTAGAAGAATCATCTATGGCTACCAGTTCTTGATTGCGCTTCCTGGATGGAGGTGGGGCTTCTTATGAAATCACTTTTGGTATAAATAGTTCCTGAAGCAGTTACCCAGTTATTAACAGTTGACAAAGCTGGGGCTTGACAGAGGCAAATGACCATTGCTAATATGTAAAACTTTCCTCAAATATCAAAAACAATTTTCCACTAACTGCCCTCTTGCTATGACTAGGGTGTATAATCTCGATGATTAAATTTCATAATCACTCTGGCTTCTCTGCATTATTCATGGACAAAGTCAAGGGAAGTGGGCTCCCATCATGACAACATGGAAGACTTTCAGATTCTGCAAGAGCGCTGGGCTTCCGGGAGAGCAGGGGTCTGATAAACCATTTTTTCTTCAGCGTGTGTGTATGCTTTGCTTTAGTTTTGCTAAGGACAGTGTTTGCACTCTGGGATACAGTAAGCTTTAATATGTCAAATAAACAGCATGAACAAGAAGATAGTATTGTGTTACCGCTCTAGCTGATCTGCAGGCAGGATGAGGCTATGACTGAAAAAGGGTCCCAAAAGACAGGTGATGTTGGTACATACCTGTGGTCACCTAAGAATTAAAACCAAACCCATTGCCATTGAGTCGATTCCAACTCATGGAGACCCCATGTGTTACAGAGTTGAACTGCTCCATGGGATTTTCTTGGCTATAATCTTTACAGAAACAGATCACCAGACCTTTTTTTTTTTTGTTTGTGATGTGGCTGAGCGTGTTCAGACTGTGAATCTTTAGGTTATTAATTGAATGCAAACTATTTGTGCCATCCAGGGACCCTGTGGTCATCTAAAGAAAAGAAAAAAGCTGATTGTCTTAATTCAAACTAGGGTCACAGAGAAGAGAGTTGAGTATGGATTTGGAAACTGTCTGGATGACTCCATGAAGCGGGAGTAAGTCAGAAAGCATAGACTGGCCAAGTTGATGTAGACATTCACATTGAGATCAGTCACCAGACCAACGTGACTCTCTGATTTTCTGTCACAAGAAGATCAGTTTCATTGCTCACTATTCTGCCACCTGGACCAGGAACATGATACATTCAAGTTTTTTGTTTTTTTTTTTAATTTTATTCTTAGATAATTCCTATACTATTTCTAAAGTCTGTTAAAAAAAAAATGGAAGTGATCACTTGCTTCTTTAAATGCTTTTAAAGATTCTCCTTTTCTACAATAAAATCCCTATACTAGTTTCTTATTGTCGCTCTAACAAATTACTTCTGAATTGTTGACAGAAAACAACAGAAATTTATTCTCTCATGATCCTGGAGGCCAGTTGTATAACATCAGTACCACTGAGCCAAAATCAAGGTATCAACAGAGTAGCTCTCAGGCTGTAGTGGAGAATCCAATCCTTGCCTCTTCCAGCTTCTGGTGGCCGCCAGCATTCCTTGATTTGTGGCTGTATCACTCCAGTTTGCAAAGCCAGCATCTTCAAATCTCTCTCTGCTCCATGTTCATATTGTCTTCTTTTCTGTGTGTGCCAAATCTCCTTCAGTATTTCTCTTATAAGGACACATGTGATGGCATTTAGAGACCGCCTAGATAATTTAGGATAATTTCTCAATTTTGAATTCTTAATCACTCTTTTTCAAATAAGGTAATATTCACAGATTCTGGGGATTAGGACATGGGTGTTTGTGAGTCATTATCAGCCTACCACTGTCCACATTCCTAAGGTTAAGAAACAAAAAATACTCCATGGTCTGGGACATGTCCATTCTTCCAGCTTTATCTCCTACTCCCTCTTCTCTCCATATATACCACATTTTCTCTCACCCCAGACATGTCATCATTCTCAGTTTAACCTCTGGCCATATAACATCCTTTTCTGCTCCATTTCTTCCTGGGGAACTCCTATTTATTTTTTCAAAAGCCAAGACTATGAAGGCCTGATTGGGTCCGCAAAATAGATTTACTGATTTTTTTTGGAGCATCCGTAGATATTTTTGTTCGTATCTTTGCCGCATCACTTATGTTATGTTGTCATCATTTATGTAGCCTGAGGTTTATCTGAGATCACATAGAAATTGGTGATTGCTGTTTCTAACTTTTACTTCTACCTGTAAAGGTAAGATCTCAGTCCACTCCAATGCCTCCTGCACACATCTGTGTTCAGGGAGTGTCAAATGTGCTCCCCAATATGTCTGAACAGTATGTTGTTTGCGGCCACCTCTGCCAATTCTGCTAACCCCTGAAACCCCTAAAACCCGCCAGGTTTGGCCACTTTTATCTAGCAACCCAGCAGATGCTCTGCAGTCCTCAAAATGCCAATACTATTCTATAAGTCGTTTGGGCCAGAGGGGGAGAAAATGCCACCTCTTTCACTGGGGGATTCATACTCTGTCCCTGAGTGGTTCAAATGGTTTGAAATTGGCTGCTAATCTGGAGGTTGTTGGTTCAAATCCACCAAGTGCTTCTGCAAAAATAAGGCCTGGAGATCTGCTTTTGTAAAGATTCTAGCCAAGAAAACCCTATGGATCTACTCTGTAACACATGGGATCACCGTAAGTTCAAATTGACCCTTCGTCAATGGGTTTTTTTTTTTTTTTTTTTTAATACTTTGTTAGAGGAGTTCCAAAATTTCACTGTTTGGGAAAGAGTATCTTAAAGCGTCCATCAAGAAAATAGCTTTTCTTCAATGTCTGACATTTAATTCCATTCATAAATGAGCTACATTTGAACCTTTGATTTATTTTGTGAATTGGGGAAACGATACCATGGAAATGGCAAAAGCAATGAAAATTCAACTAACCTTATTGAAACAAAAAGAAAAAAAAAAACAAACTGTGAAAATTGTGGCCAGGACAAATCAAAGTTCACTGAGAACTCTATTCAACAGATGCTGCAGAACATGCCAACTTTTTTTCTGAAAATAAAGTTTTATTAAAACACAATTGTGTCCATCTATTTACATATTGTTTATGGTTGTCTGTGTTCATGCTGCAAAGATAGAGTTGAGTAGTTCCAACAGAGACCAAATAGCCCGCGGAGCCTAAAATATTTACTCTCTGGCCCTTTACAGAAAAAGTTTGCCAACCAGTGCTCTAGTGTACAAGGTGTTGGTAGATTGAGATCAAATTGTGAGGAACTTTAAATATTATTTGAATGAATGTGAACTTTATCTCCTGGGAACTGGTGAATACAAAAGATGAATAACTTGGACGAATGGAAATGGGGAACCCACAATCGAGAAGAGTGCTGACACTTCTCGGGGCCGGCAACCAATGTCACAAAACAATATGTGTACCAACTGTTCAATGAGAAATCAATCTGCCCTACAAATCACCTAAAGCACAACAAAAAAAGAAAAAAAGAGTATAAAATTAATAAAGTGGGCTATTTATATTTAAAAAAAGATGAATACCTTATCCCTATAAAAAATAACTTCTGTGTGTGTGTGTAAACCTTTTCATGAGTTTTTACAATAGTAGTCTCATACAGTATTTGTCCTTTTGTGATTGACTTATTTCACTCAGCATACTGCCCTTCCAGATTCATCTATGTTGTGAGATGCTTCTCAGATTCATCATTTTTCTTTATTGTATGCATACTCAATTGTGTGTATGTACCATAATTTGTTTATCTGTTCATCTGTTGATGGGCATCTAGGTTGTTTCCATCATTTGATACTGTGAATAATGCTTCAGTCAACATGGATGTGCATATGTCTATTCATGTGATGGCTCTTATTTCTCTAGGATATATTCCTAGGAGTGGGATTGCTGGATCATACGGTATTTCTATTTCTACCTTTCTAAGGAAGCACCATGGCATATTCCATAATGGTTGTATCATTTTGCATTCCCACCTGCAGTGCATAAGAGTTCCGATTTCCCCACAGCCTTTCTAACATTTGTTATTTCTTCTTTTTTTCTGATTTGTGCCACTAATGCCAGGGTGAGATGTATCTCATTGTGGTTTTGATTTGCATTTCTCTAATGGCTAGTGATCACGAGCATTTCCTTATGCATCTGTTGGCTGCTTGAATGTCTTCTTTGGCTGAGTGTCTGTTCATTTCCTTTGCTCATTTTTTAATTAGATTAGTTGTCTTTTTGTTGTAGAGGTGTTGGATTTTCTTGTAGATTTTAGAGATTTTACCTTTGTCTGATTTGTAGTAGCCAAAATTTTTTTCCCAGTCAGTAGGTTCTCTTTTTACTCTTTTGAAGTTTTTTTTTTTTTTTTTTAATTGTACTTTAGGTGAAGGTTTACAGAACAAATAGTTTCTCATTAAACAGTCAGTACAAATATTTTTTCATGACATTGGTTAACTACCCCACGACATATCAGCACTCTCCTTTCTTGAACTTTTTTTTTTTTTAAATATTTTTTTTGATGAATATTTAACTCATCAAGTTGATAAAATTTTTCCATTCAAATGTAAGTGCCTCATGACCATAGAAGGTGAGCCACAATCTGGATACCTGAAAAATACCTGAAAGCTCCTAAAGATCAGTAAGAAGTAGTTCAATTGTATCTCAGGGCCTACAGGTAAAAAGGAGCCCCGGTAGTGCAGTGATTAACAGCTTGGCTGCTTACCAGAAGGTCAGCAGTTCAAATCTACCAGCTACTCCTTAGAATCCTATGGGGCAATTCTACTCTGTCTTATAGGGTTGCTATGAGTCAGAATCGACTTGAAGTCAACAGGTTTGGTTTTATAGGTCAAAGAGAGAGAGAGAAAACTTTTATGTTGAGAGAGTTCCCGAAGTGACTATTTGGCAGAGACAATTTTATGAGGAGGAAAGTCATGCATATTCCAAGTGTCCACAGTACAATGGCTAGAAGTCAACTGATAAA